GTGCTGTTGTTCATGCTATGGATGATAAATGATGTTAATATCATGGTCAAATTTTTTTATCTTTTTTTTTATCTGATCGTTTTTTTCTGAAGTCATTTACTTTCACAATTCAAAATGACAGTGGTTACTTCTGATAGAATTAAATAGGCCTATCTTATAGTTTAAGCTATGAACCAGACGAATTAGCTTAATATCTTCAATTTCTCGAGGCTGATTCTGTAAGAGATCTTCTTTCATATAGTATTTATAACTCTTTTGAACTTTGTGAAAAAAAAACTTTCATTTGAACAGAAAAAAAACAATCATCAAAAATAAAGATAAAAAAATTTGACCATGATATTAACATCATTTATCATCCCTAGCATGAACAACAGCACCAAAAACTCCAGCAACAAATCCAGCAGTACCACCAACAATAGCACCACCAGTAGCACCAGCAACGGTTCCAAGCCCTGGAAAGACACAACTGGCAGTGACTGCACCAAAACCTGCACCAGTACCAGCACCAGTTGTTGCTGCACCAACAATAATTGCTGTACACTCAGCACCTTTTCCCATTTTGTGTAATTACTTGAAACCGAGGGAACAGAGAAAGATTAGATATATTCTTCAAGCGTGTGCTTGTACAATCTTGTTGTGATTTGTTTGGAAGAATGTTATTTTTGAAGAAACACTCGTCGTTTTATACAAGTACATTACGTCACATATTGATGACATTGAAAAATCCAAGTAGGATTCCCCTTGGAATATACCAAAAGCACAAAAACAAGAATAGATAGAAAGAAAAAAAGAAAAATCAATGCGAAGCTTCTGTACTACGCATGGTCGTCGTCACATTAAGAGAACGCTGAGTTTTTTGTCTATGTCATTGGATTTTCTTCGTTCTGTTATGTATTGATATTATTTTTTCTTTTATTTTCACCGTTTTTTTTTATCGGAGTGTCGTTATGTACTACTTTAGTTTATGTAATACCAATAAAAAGAAGTTATCATGGAATATTTCTACTTTTTTTCTGCCTATTATTGATATCGTACAAATAATGGCATCGATTGTTTGGAAAAAACACGCTGTTTGCAATTTGTAAAGTTTAATTATCATCAAAATTTTATTTAAAATACATGACAGATCTCTATTTCAAAACTAAACCATATGATTTATTACTCTTGTTAGTAAATTCTTTAATTTGCCACTTCGAGTGGCTATACTGAAGAACTGTATATGAGTGAACTAAGAATTCCTCACTGTTTTGGATTTTATTACTTCATAAGTTTACTAAACGCTACTAATAACCATAGGTGCTGATATTTCTACTGTTGAACCGGTTGTTTTGTGATTTTTAGAAAAAAAAACACGATCTTTTTAGGTTGTGATACGTACGAAAAGTTGTCATGTTAAAAAAAAGCTGCAAAATTAAATTTCTTCTGTGTTGACA